GTGGTGGTGTGGTGGTGTGGTGGGGAAGCGGCAGGGCCGGCTGCCTCACCCAGGAAAAGACAAGCCCAACCCAAAGAACTACGTCAAGGAGGAGCGCAGCCGCAGCTGCCGGTGCAGCCTGGTCGGCCGGAGCGGGCGCTGAGCGGCGTCGGCTGATGGCCCGGCCGGAAGCGCGGTTGATCTTGCCTTCTCCCCCACCTGACCCTCTGCAATCAGAATTTTCATCCACGGATTGCTGCAGACAGTAGGAAGGCTTCAACGGCTTCAATGCGTACCTAGCTCCTCTGCGCCATCGACGCCCTCCCCCTCACGCATCCGACCCTCCGCTTGCTTGCGTGATGCGTTTCCTTTCTCACACTTGGTCCTGTGCTGTCTTGGTCAGAGGGTAGACCCTACGTTCCCTTGCTAATGATAAAGTTGCATGTTCATTCATTCGCTTCACGGTGTTGGCGATTAAGTACCTGTCGCGGGGCCAGTTTTTGCAGCTGCGCCTAGGGAGGGTGGAATCTGAGTGGCTGAAGTTGCCTGGCAGAGACTGGACAGAAAGCCTGAACAAGAACTAAATGAAAAATGAAATCGGTGCTTTTGGCAGCACATTTCTTGACTTGAATTCCAATTTGACCCACCCAGTTACTGTGGATTGGTCGTAACAACACGCCAGGAATATGGCTACGCGAGGGAGCAGTACTCCTGAGAACATGCAAGCATAAAAGTATATGTAAGTATGCTTTTCGTGGAAAGTGGACAGCTTAGGCACTTGGAGGATCCTTAAACCAAGTATGACACAGGCATCACTGGGGTGAATACGGGTCAATGTGGTGAAGGGCTCAGAGCAGCCTTGCGTGCCACTGCAAGAACTCTCCTCGCTTGGCCGCTCTACGGGCATGAGCGGCAACTTTTCCAAAACGCGGTAATTGCTTCCATCGTGGCTTTGCCACAGTACTATTCGTTAACAGGCCATGCTGAGCAGTTGGGACTGTGAGTGTCCAACCCAGCAGGCGAGGGAAATCTAAGCAGGCGAGCAGATTCGGCGCCGTTTAACTCCCTAACTCCGTAAGTCCTTCGGTACCCATTACAAATCATAGCCTATCAAGCTCCACACAAGGTGCCAAAATTTGGAGAATTGAAAAGAAATCTCGATCTGCGTTATGCGCGCGCATTGGCTGCGTCCTCAGCGGCTCCGACCACGAGGCGGGGCGTCTGCAGGCTCCTGAGCAAAGCTTCGGTGAAGCCGAGGCCAAGATCTACTGGAGTCTACTCTTCTCTCTCTTTCTTAAAACTCGCTTAAAAACCCAGGTGTGACACGGCTGTCCTGAATTGAGATCAAGGCGAAAGTCCAACTCTTGGCACTCTTTGAGGGATTCATCACCTTCCTTGGTCCGTTTGGGGCAATTCTCCTCAAGAGTAAGTCGAGTCCACACTACTGCAAAGCAATGCAAAGCCTCCTTGAGCCCTTGAACTTGCGGCTAATTCTGAGACCAAGGCGGCTTTGTCCCCGTCAGCGGGGCCCAGGTTAGAGAGCCACAGGCCTGTTGGAAGTCTTCTGAAGAATTCTCCGGATGGGGCAGTGGGTTAGGAGGCTTGGAGAAAGAGTTCTGATGGCGATATGCCTCAGCGATTCCCCAAGGTGACGAGGTCGCAACCCCTTGGCCTTCCCCCTCCAGCAACCACATCTGTCCATCAAGCACAAAGCCTTCGAAGCCCAAACAACACCTCTTCCCATGTTCCCTCCTATCCTCGAAGCCAACATGCCTGGCAGCGCCGCCAGCCCAAGAGCTCCAGAAGCGAAGCCTCCAATTGAGCGTAAACTTCTCCAATGGGCTTCTCGGGGCTAACTCGGCTGGTTGTTCGAGGTCTGCGGCTTAGAGGCTCAGAGGATGCCAAAGGTGCAGCAGACGCGGATCATTGGGACCCTGCTGGGACCCCCTCCTCCCTGGACGCATTCTATTAGTAGCCTGCGGATTTGGGCTGCGCTCTTTGTCACCTTACGAGTAGACTACGTCAGCAGCAGTGAACAATTCATATTTGGCCGATGGTCAAAAAGTCCCATACTCGTGCTGTAATCTCTTTTCATCTTGTTTGACAGGTTGCAGAGCATGTTGAAAGAGACCTGCTCGTTCTGCAAGGCTGCCACATGAATGACCGACTCCATTTCCCGAATACACCAATCTTCTAAAAACAGGGCCCATGGGGTCTCATCTGTACCTCTGGCAATCCCTGGGAATTTACAACTATCTCGTTTTGCAGCACTTCAGTTGGGCGTTGAATCTTGTTTTCCAAGTACTTAATACTGTCACGGGCAGTATAGTCACTATTGTTGAGGTTGCCATTGTTCTCACTGTTGTCGTTGCCGCCTCGCAGAGGTATTATTCATGCCGTCAGTGCCATTGAAGGCTCTGGGCACAAAAAAAGGAAAGGCGAGGGACTTTTCCTTGCGCGAATGGTGATCTCCGGATAACCTTTGGGGGTGGTCTTACGGATACGTGCCCCAACAGTGCCCAACAGTCTTCAGCATGCTCTGGCCTTCTCATGTTGCTCCGGCTGGTACCCTGGCAGCTTGGCCGCCGCACGTGTGGAAGCAGTGACATTGAAAAGGCAGGCAGGCTTCTCACCCAGGAAGTCCTGTCCACAGCCCGAGCAGGTTTTCATGCGAGCCCACTCTATAGGGGTTGGACATACCTGGGGGGGGTGTTATCCCCGGGGCTTCATATGGATGAATCCCGGGGATTAAGGCCTCAGGCATAACCAATTCTGAACATTCAGAGGCTTTGACGTGCACCAAAGGCCTGAAATAATTCCCACTATCACAGTGGGCCGCGCAATCTGTGTCAGCTTCGTCGTCGGCAGCCCTCGCCTCCCGCTATCACAGCGGGCGGCGCAAACTGTGTCGTCTTTGTCGTCGGCAACCCTCACCTCCCATTATCACAGCGGGCCGCGCAAACTGTGTCGTCTTTGGCGTCGAAACTGGCTCCACTATCATAGTGGGAGGCTGCCCTGCGCACCGAAACTCAATTACTGCTGTCAGCTTAACCCCCAAACTCACTATCCACTGACATAAGATTTCTTGGGAGTCTTCAGGGATGCCGTTCCCGTGAGAACAAGAGTGCGCCCAGATGGAAATTCCCTGCAAGCCCTCCGACCTCCAGGGTCACATGCGGGGGGCGGCTCCGTTTGCGACTGACCGATGGCGACCGCGAGCGGAGGTCCGCAAGGAAGCTCTCTAAACTCTGAGCCTGCAGCACTGCAAACCTACCAAGCCTAGTCAACGAGCGCCACAGCTCGGCAACAGAGCAGCGATGCCTCTCCAGGTCCTCTCGAAGAGTCCCTTGGGCGAAGGAGCTTGGCCTGATGCTGCCAACACGCAGTCAAGACGTCTTGACACGCGTGAGATCTTGGAGGCCACACCTCACCCTGTCGCACTTGTTGCCCCTGTCCACGCTTGCGGCTCTTCAGACTTTAGACAATGCAAGCAATCTCAGACGCTGCCTTGGCATCCAGCGTCGACAGTGTCTCCCTCTCTGGAGAGGGCTCGCGCGAGAGGCCCAAAGACTTCAGCATGTCCTGGGCACCACTCTGCGCCTGCCGCTCCTGCAGGCAACAGCCGACAAGCTTTTCTTGAGACCACGGTATCAACTGTGAAATACCATCCCCGATAAATTTACTCAGGCTACAGTACGTGATCTTGATAGGTCTGTTTAAAGATCTCTGACCTGAACACAGAAGCATGCAGCTCGGCTCCTCGAGGAGGTCCGCGAGGTAGTCAACCTGCTGCACCAGAGCCTCGGTCCGCTGGGCTTCCTCCTCCAGCAAAAGCCGCAGTGTGGTGGCCTTGGGCTCGGGTCAGCCACCAAAAATTCCAAAATTGCACTCGATTGATTGCTGTGCCAGGCCTCGTCCTCCAGCTGCTGAGCGTGGCTCTCCGAGGCTGCTTTCTCAGCACGAGCCGCGTCCCGCTCCATGGCCAGATTGCTGAGCTGCTGCTCCAGCTCCTCGTTGCGCTCGCTGCGTCGCGATGGTGAAGTGACGGAGGTTGGCGAAGGGGGCTTGGGGCTTGGGCTTGGCTCTTCGAAGCTCAAACTCCCGGCGCTGAGACGTTTTACAACCTCAGTACCTGCCCGGCGCCACCGCTGCCGTGCCAGGTCTTCCTTCTCCTCTTCTTCGCGCACCTCGTGCCCAGGGCTGCTGGTGCGCATGCTGCGCCGGCTCCTCAGCTGGCGACACTCCACCTGAAGCCTGCGGTACTCCTCCTCCAGCTTTTGATGCTTCTCTTCAAAAGCAGCGGCATGCTCCTCCGCAAGGCAGGCGGCTTCTCTATGCTCCTGCACAGCATTTGCAGAACAAGAGCTGTCGTATACGTGTTGAGCTGCACCTGTTCGCTCTGCTCGGAGCGCTTCAGCCGCTGCTTCATTTGCTCCATGCTCAGCTCCTGAGCTTCGCGCACGTCCCACAAAGCCAGGACACGGCAAAGTGGGTTTCCTGTTCCCTGGGCCGGGCGCCTCGTCAGAGTCCGCGGAGGCCACGCTCTGAAAGCGCAGCCGCCTCGCCTGAAATTGAAAACATAAAAACGAACTCAAGATTGCTTCTTCCCTGGGCCACCTTTCCGTCCCTCTCGAGCTCCAGCTCCAGGCGACGGCACTCCTTCGGCCAAAGCTCACAGACCCCTTTGAGGCAGAGCTGGAAAGCTGTCCTCTTCGAGCCTCTGGCCTCAGCACTGTTTATACATGGATAACGCTAAGACTTGAAATCCCAAGCATGGTCTTCAGGCACTGACGTTGGCTGGCCTTCCGGACTAGTGCAGCGCACATCATCTTAGTAAATTACACCTCTCCAGAGCTGGCAAGCCTCTGTGGCCGTGCTTCGCCGCAGCACCTGGTGACCAGATATGCCCGGAAGCAAGGGTCAAGTGCACGTCTGGACCATGCATCAAGACCGTGCCTCCAGCTCCTGCTCCAAGGCCTCATTCCTAAGCCCGAAATGTGCCGCCAGTGGCTCATAAGACCTTGTGGCCCGGCCTGGAGAGAAGCAGCTGGCCAACTTCTGCAGACCTTGGCTTTGGCTCAGAGACTAACACGGCCTCAAGGCGAAAACTGATGGCTTAAGTACTTCGATGTTTAGCACTGCTCAGCTAAGAGGACCGCTGGCGGAGGGCCTCGCGTGCCTCTGCCGCGCCTCGCGATCAGCGGTACTGTTTCGTGTGCTTCCTCCTCCGCCGCTCCTATTGTGCCATGGCCACACCTCTTCGCGCAGCCTCCATCTCTGCATGGAGTACCTGCAGTTCCTGAGTGGATCATCCCCAAAACCCCCTTTGCCACTGGGCCATGTCTTAGCAGCAGGCGCAGCACGCCGACGCATTTGGGGCCATGAGAGCCGCGAGGGCTCTCCGCTGAGGATTATTGCATGGACCCTAATGTTTAATCACCTTTCTTCCCAACTGGGAGCTTATCTGGGAATGCCTTCTAGGGGTGAACCTCAACTACCGCCAGTGGCCAAGTTACCTGCAGAGCACAGTTTGGCTCAAAATGCACAGAGACCTTCTCATATTCGGCGGCTTGACAGTGATGCGCCTGGGTGGTCAAATGAGCCGGACAGCTGTGCCATGATGCGTGCCATGCGGCGTCTCTCTCATGAAGCACCACGAAAGCCATGCGTTGCCTTAAAAACTGCTGCACTGTCCTCAACTTCCTCTCCGAGAGAGCATGAAGATTTACAGAGAAGCTAGGAGGTGGAGTCCCTGTTCACGGAATGTTGCAGGTTTGGCTGTCTGCAAAATCTTGCCCATCTAGAAACAACATAGCATCAGGGTGTTATGCACCAAAAACCTGATGCACATCCAGTGTGATGTTTTTGGCTTTCCTGTGTGCGTTCAGCTTTGTCGCCAGCGCTATCTGTTTTCTCTCGGTCTTGCAAGCAGTGACATGTTGATGCCAAATCGGGCAGATTTCCAGGCTACTGTATCGTTCATAGACAATCTGTCCTCCTATTAGGCACTATGCAAAGGTGTGCGGCAGTAACGGCCGGAAACATGCCTTATATCGTCCTATGATTTCTCCAAGTCAACACCAACAAACAACTAGTGATTTGTGATGCCAGGATTTGCCTTTCCTTTCGGAGAACATTCACCCAGAACCAATCACATGTGGCAACATTCAGCATCGCTCTCACCAACTTTATACCCAATGCGACACCATTCGGGGCGCAAGCTCTGAAGCCTTGTAGACGCTGTTCGGCAACCTGGACATCCCAAACATAACCTTCTACAAAGCTACAAAAAGAAGCACCGCTGAACAGCGCGCTCACGACTGAGCTGAGGCAAATGGTGAGACGCACAAAATCCAGGTGAAACTCATTTGGTCCATACTTGGAGCTGCAGTTGGTTTAGCTGCTGCAAGCGGGCAGCCGGCGTGGTCACTCCGTCTTACACCCAGAAGCGCAGGTACATTCAAGAGGCCGCTACCTACATCCTGGTTCTATGCACCGCGCTATGCCTGTTTCTGAGACGAGCTCCGGGCGCAGCGACCAAATCGCACAGAGCCAGGCTCCAACAGACTGCCAACCAGCATGTAATCCGTCGGCACGCAGGTGCTTCGACGCGTGCGTGCCACTACAAGCCCGACTTTGGATCCCCGTTCTCATGCTGGGCGTGCTAGCTGCTAGCTTCAGGCTACCGCCAGAGTAGAAAAGCTTCAAATGCGCCAGGCTTGCTGAGACGTGATGCGCAGATGACTCCTTTCAAGTCCCGCACGACATCTCGGAAAAAGCAGACGAGCACACGACTCTGCCGGGAGCTCACGTCTTGGCCGTCTCGCCAGTCACCTCAGGTGGCTCCTGCAAGTCATTGCTTCAAAAGGTTCAACAGGGACTTTGATGGAAAAACCTCGAGCCAGCAGACGAAGTTGCCATGCTCCCATTGCGATTTCCGCGAGAGACCTGCCATCCGTCAAAGCACCGGTATCCACATGAGGGAGGGTTGGGGACTGACCTTTTGCAGTAACAGCGATGCCGACGCCATGCTGCCGACCACTGTCCCACTGGCCTTTCTCCAGCAAGGTAGAGTAACCCGCCATCACGAGCACACACGAGCAGACACTTGCCTGTATAGGAGCGGCCATCGGGCCAGGAGAGTTTGCCCTCCCCATGCTTCTTTCCTGCCAGTAGGGCATTCCCTCCTGTTTCCTGAGAGCCCTTTCTTTCCAGCCGAGAAGCCATCGCGGAACTGACCCTCGTAGCATCGTCCATCGGTCCACTGCATGGTGCCGCTTGGACCCATATGATTCCTAGCCAAAAGGAATGCTCAAATCCTTGAAAGTTCCTCCCAAGGCCCTGGCCTACGCCATTGGCCAGTATACGACCTACCGTCGCTCCACTGGTAGCGTCCCTCGCCGTGCATGTCGTTGGCGTCGAAATCTCCCTGGCAAGCTCTTCAATTGAAGTGTGTGTCTCCCTGGCATGGGTTGCAGGCCTCATAACTGCCGCCTGTGTTCCAAGTAAACTTGCCCTTGCCGCATTTATCGCCATTCTTGAACTGCCCCTGGCATTGCGGAATGTCAGGAAAGAAGTGAGTCTGTGAACAGGACGGCCTCGAAGACGCTGCCGTCCACAAGCTTCTCCACCCCATGCCCATCTTGGACCTCGCGCAACGCCGCAACGCCAAGTGTTTCGGATTGATGGAAGTGCTTGTGGCCTGCCTCCATCTTCCACTGACCCTCATATGTCGAGCCATTGCTGTATGTGTACCTTGCATGCCATTCTTGGAGAAGGCCGTAAGCCATGCAGAAAAAGAAGCGCTCTGAGTCTCAGACTTTCCAGTTCCATGCTTTCGGTCTGAGTCGAACTGGCCCTCGTACATGGAGCCGTCGGCGAAGATCAGCTTGCCCTGGCAGATGCTCTGAAGCCACAGCGCCTTCTGCTTGTAGAGTTCCCGCCTGACCATGCTTATCTTCACCTCGCCATTGGCCTTCCTGGCAAGTTGCAACAGCTTACAGCTCCAGTTCCTGGAAGCACCAGAGTTGAGTGCCCAACGTAGACGGCTCCTCCGCTCAGCGTCTGGCCGCCTGGCGAGCGGAGAGGTGTCGAACAAGTGCCAAATTCCGAAACACAAAGCACCCTCCGCCTCCAGAGGCCTCCAGCGGACGCGGAGAGCTGCCCTACAGGAGTAAGACTCCATGCATTAAAAGGTGCACAAAAGAGACAAGGTAAGTCCCAAAAAAACAACCCTGCCCACTGCCCGCGGCCTTGGCCTCACCCGGCTCGATGTTCAGCGTTGGCGGGGGCCCCCTGAAGTAACGGGACTTTAGAAACTCGAAGCCCAGTCCGCGGTTGCGTTTGCCAAGCCACTTCTCACAGCCGCATCCCGTGGAGTTGCAGGCGCCCATCCTGCTCAGGTCATAGTGTCAACATCTGCCAAGAACAAGTAAATCCAAAACGCTGTGCCTGTGACTGTGAACTCAGCATCTACCCATTGCGGCAAGTAGGCAGAGGTACACTGAAGTTAAAGTGTGGCTGTGAACAATACTGATGGCGAGGCATATAAAATCTAAAATCCCTAAATAGGATTTCCTGAGCCATCGCGATGATGGGGCAGAGGACAGATAACATAAGAATCTGCAAAGGCACAAGACTAAGTAGACAAACATCCCCCTTCGCACTGCGGTCTTCGTACTGCGGAAGCTTTTCCAGTATGTTGTTTAAGCGGTCTATGGGAGACGTTCGCTGACGAAGCAGCTGTGTCTCCATGCGGGCGTTCCATGGCAGAACAGCCGCGCATAGTCATGCATTATCTCAAAAACTTCTCGCTCTGCTCACCCGATACCTCGGTGGCAGCTGCTTTCGTTGCCCTTTGTGATCACTCGTCTCTTTGACCTTCTTGCTGCTTTTTGGGGAGGTGGGCCCAAGACCTTCGCTTCGAGATGCTGCTCAGGGAGCTGCTCCAGGCGCAGGCCTGGCTCGGCTCAGACTTGTCTCTGTGGGGGATCTTGAGAACGATTCTTGGACTTCATCCGTGCATCCAGGCAACTCGGAGGAAGAGGATGCAGCGGCGGCCTGGCGCGTCATGCGCGGATCGCTACAGAAAACTGCACTGGCTACCCGGCCCGGCCCGGCCCGGCCCGGCCCTTCAGGCCTTGGCTGCGGGGGGCGCCTGGTCTGCACTAACGCGGTCAACGGTCAACGGTCAGCTACAAGAATTCGAAAAGGATGGTCGAGCCCGGCCGCCCGGCCTTGGGCTGAGGCTTGTGGCCTTTGAACTCCCCTGCGAAGTCCCAGAGCCCAGGGCTACCTCCTGGCCAGGGGGCGACCTGCGCAGGAAATCGCCAAATTTACGCCGTGCTACTGAGCTGCTGGCAGCTTCTTGACCAAGGATCCTGCAATGGACAGTGCCCCCCGCACCATGTCTGCATCATTCACCTCACGAGTTGATGCTGACACGCAACTCAACAGCGTGCTGTGCTGGCCTTCGGAGCGTCCTTTGGATCTTTCAGCACAGGGCTCATGTTGAACTCGAAGAGCCACACGTCTCACAAAAATAGCAGTTTGCGATGCGTTGTCAAATCACCCAGCAAATTGTGTCAAAGCGGTGCCTCCCCTGGTGTCGACGATGAAGTCCGCCGAGAAAATCTCAAACTGCACTTTATTGAGCCGGCCTGCACACTGCAGAAACAACCTCCACTCACTCTGCCAGCTTTGCAGCACTCAGCTGCAAGTGCCGCGCACGATCGGGCGGCACATGAGTCGCCTTCAAGCTTGCCCTGGGTGACGGCGCGCTCGATCACCTGCGCCATCCATGCTTCAGAGAAGCGGATTTCTTGAGAGAGGGAAGTGCCAAATGCCGCCTCCGCCACCACGGCCTTGCACTTCGGGTAGGCCTCCGGCCAAGCCTGAAAGGCCACGCTGTAAAACAGAAACAAAGCCGCCCCATTCAGCAGCTCTGTTCACGTCCTTTGCCATGCACAACGCCCTGCACAGCCTTCCAGCCCCCTATCCGCTCCGTGCGGATGATGGTCACCTCTGGTATAACAACTCTTCTGCATCGAAAGGGTTTGACGCAGATACGGGTGCTGGCTGCATGGCCTGAGTGTCTTTTGACAGGTCAGTTGGCGACCATTTGTTCGGTGAGATGGACAGGTAGCCATCCTAGCAGCGACTTGGATGCTTCTGCTTCTGTCAATCTCCGGGTGCGGCCTTGAATGTGTACAAATGCCACCGGACTCCATCTTCAAAGCCCAGGAGCAGCACGTAGAACTGCCCCGAGGTGCGCAGTAAGGTACAGCATGGCGGCATGGGGAAGAGGCCCTGAGGCCCTGACCTTGATGTGGCACTTCCGGCCATCATCCATCAAGAGCGGATCCTGTTGAGCTTTCATTCGAGCCGCGGAGCCCACCAACGTCTCAAAAACCGCAGGATTTGGATCCTTGATGTGGGGCTGAACCACATAGACCCCTTCTTGCCTGACAGGAAAAGTTAGCAAGACCCACGCAAACATCAGCATCTGACAGCTCCCAGCTTCACCAAGCCGAAGCAGTCGGAAGGCTTGGCAACGACGTGCACGGACGTGCCTCTTGAAGTCGATGTCCACAAGCCCAGCTTAGGAAAGCTCAGAGCCGCACCCCAGTTTCTGTCGGCTTCCTTCACAAACCAGGGGACCTCGGAGGCCTTGCACGATGCACCATCGATGCTCGGTGCTGCCACGCACGCCCAAAGAACAAGCCTCCAGATCCGGAGGAGGAGAGCCTTGGGAAGACGCAGTCATGGTTCCTTGCCTCTTTGATCTGCGGACCTCGCCTCTCCATGCACCGTTTTCGAGGATGTACCTCAACAGCAGGCATGGCCATGCGGTCCGGCTGTTGTCAACATCTGCTCAATCGTGTTCACTCTGCGGGGATCGCATCATGTCGCATAATTTTGCAAGAAAACATGGTGGCAGGAGTGCTGCAATATGCCCATCGCCCATCGGCGGAACGGAAGGAATTTGTGGCACCACGGCTTCAAGGCAAAATCTTTTGAGGCAGACGGAGCTTTGTGGAGCATCGCAAGTTGCTGAGCAGGGGATGGACTGGCTGGATGCTGGGACACCATCAAAGCCAAATTTAGACACGATGAAAGCTCTTACCTCTCTACTCCATCCACCCGGTTTACACAACTACACTTCAGGCCTCCTCCTCCAAATGTAACACCTAGCCGTCCTAACAGTGCTTTGATTTGGATTTGGATGCTTTTGGGGCACGTCTCCGGCATCCTCCCCGGCGCAAGCTCCAGCACCTGGAACCAAGCCGGGCTTGTAAAACAAGAAAAAAAGACTATGCGAGGTAGGCAGATTTTTCAGATTTTCCCCCGCGCCTTGGTCTTCTCTTCAAGCCAAGCCCTGCCTTTGAGGTACCTGCAGAGAGGGGCCGAATACCAGACAGAGGAGGTAGGGGCCTCCTTGTGCAGCTAGGGCGGCGGCATTGCGATGCGGCTGAAGTGAGACTCGTCGGCAAAATCCACCAGCTTCTTTCCCAGCGGGCAATGGTATTCATTGCCCTTCTCGTCCTGCATCACGACTACCCGTGACTCAAGCAGAAAGATCCAAAAAGCTCCGAAAGGTCCCTCCTCGAACCATTTCTGATTTGGATACACTCGCCAGTCCGGCCTCTCCAGCAGGTACTCGCAGAACCTTGCTGCAGGAACACACAGGTCAAGCCCTTGGTGACTTAGACTGCGGACCTCTGGCCATGACCCCCGACCTTGCAGTTCGTGCAGTACCGATACCTGGAAGACTAGCTGATCGGCTGTCATATGTCATTACAGGCCACTGAGCCTTGGCTGGAGTGGTAGGCCATCCGCATCCAGGGGCACTGCCGCCGCCGGCTGCGAGTCATCCATCGCTACCACCAAGGATTTATCATCAATCACCTAAGGATTGGTCACTGCACATGAGCTGCTTCTGGGGTGAGGCATTGGCAAGCCTCCTTCATGGAGGTCATTTCCTGACGGCTCTTCTCGATCTCAATGTCGGCTTGCGTCAAATGCTTGTTCACAATAACCTGCATATTGCATATTGCATGAATCTGCGGGGTGCTTCAGGAAGCTAAGATACTAAACGTTGAGAGACACTGAGTCATCCCATCTGCCTGCTCTTGCTGCCTTGACCTTGCGGCCATCCGCAGGTCACGCACGGCTGCACGAATCCGGCCTCCAGGCGACTTCCAAAATCTCGCAAGTCTAACACACGAGATACACGAGAAGTGCAGCGGCCCGGGGTCCGGGGCCTGCAAGTTGCATGACCTTCTTCGCGTCACCCGCGTCCATTGTGCTAAGGCACCGTGCAGCTTCCAGCGCCTCTTCTACCTGGAGGCATCTCCATGCTGATCCCTTCAGCAAGCGAAAGACAAACCTCGAGCTCTCCGAAGGACAGCTGCGTCTGCCGCACGCGGAGACGATTTCGGCCAATCTCTGTCAAGACCTCCAACACCCACAGCATCCACTAAAGAGCGCTAAAGAGCCCAACACTCAAAAACGGAAGAAACCCCTTCTCTGAGTATCGCACCTCCCTCTGCTCTGCCAGTGCGGCGTGCTGATCTAGGGCATCCTGACAAAATGCATGAAGGCATTGTCAGAGTCTACCGTGCAAATTATGAATGGAGTTGTAAACTCCCTCACCTGAATGCTCCAGGATCTCTCGTACCTCGCTCATGCCGACAGAAGAGGCATGACAAGCTGACAAGAACGAAGGTGAGGCACTGGACAAAGATATCCATGGTCGGCACCCCTCTCTGCCTCGGAGGAGCAGCGGAGCAAGCTTGCGCGAAGCTTCGCGAAGCTTCGTGTTCTTTGCAGTGAAAGCGGAAGTGCAAGTGCCAAGCTCTCGCCCTCCCGCAGCTCGCGTTTCGTCCATTGCAAGCACTTTTGCGGGCACTAGCGGAGCTCGGCCTGCGGAAGAGAAACGAAGGAGCCCCAAACAAGAGAGAGACTGCTCTGGCACCACTCTGGCACCTCGGGGAGCGAAGGGAGGCTGCGCGCCTGCAGGAGTTGGTGAACTTCCTCCTGGCCTCAGTTATGACCTGCAGCTTTTCTCCTGGCCTCCCAACTTGGAAGCCGCCATGGGAGCCGATGCATTAGCAATCGTGGCCTTGCCACTTGCCGCACGCAAAGGGCTTTTAGAGGGCTGCCCCGCGATGAAAAAGGGAAAAACAGCACTCATCTCACAAATCCCCGTAATGACAGCAAAGCCCTGCTAAGCAGAGAGCGGCCCGGCCGCTGCCCGCCATTCAGGCCTTGATGCCTCCAGCAAGGCAGCACATTGACATGGAGATGGTCGAAGAACGCGTAGGCCCTAGGCTTAGAGGTCAACCAGATCCTGTTGACGTGGGGATTGTGTATTGATTTACAATGTCATACCTTGCACTCAGAACGATAAACAAGCGGTTGCGACGTCGACAACCATGGAAGTCAAGCGATGTATATCACGTAGACAGTGTTCAGAAATGCAATTGAAATGGCAACCAGGAAAACAGAAGAAGAATACTGGCAACAAAAGTTGACATCATACCCATGCCTGCCCTGAAAGGGTGGCTTTGGCAGTCGCATATCTTCTGAGAGCTTACGGCTGAAGACCAAGCGAGACACTTCAGCACGATTGAGTTGTAGAAGGCGCAGTAGCAGTAAGATGCTAATGGTCAGTCTGCCCACCCACCCTTTTAACTGAACAAGCGATCTGACCATTAGTCTTTGAGGTTTCTGTACAAGGCAAATCCCGGGGCGGCTGCCTTCAGCCACGTTTCAGCTGGTGTGCAGTTCCTGCTTTGCTGGCTGAAAAAGAGGAGCGGCGCCCTTGTGTTGGGCACAAAACACTTAGGCAGACAGATAGCAGTGCTGTGCCGTGCTTCAGCCGCCTAACGCCAGCAAGAAAACTCACGCGGTAATCAACCGTCGTACAGTCGCTGGTACCACACAGCTATCTCAGGATATACCTGATCATCGTCATAGACGATGAATTCGCGAAAGGTGCCGCGGCATTTCTCGCGGTCACCCAACAGGCTGTGGTAGTTTCCATTCCGACACTGCCGAACCAAGCTGTCAACGTTAGGCGCGACTTCGTCGCTGTAAAGCACGTTGCCCAGCACGGCTCTGCAGATCAGCATGCAGCGGAGTCCCTCGGAATTCTCAGCTGAGTATTCATCAGACTTGCTGCAGCTTTCGGCCATGTAGATACCGCGGCCGTACAATGTACCCGCATTGGACCCGGCCTTGTCCACAAGAAAATCACCTTTTGTGATCAATTCAGCGGCTTCGTCGTTGGTGCCGTGGAAGAGCCACACTGTGTTGGTCTCCGGATCTGAGCCTTCGCTATGAAGCTCCATGGACTCCATGCTGGAAGTTTTCAGGTTCTCGATGCTGTTGTTCACATGCCCGATGTGCTTCTGATGACATAGGTCGCACAAGTCAAAATCACACTGTTCACAGCCTGGGATGCAAAGCTGCACTCGTTGCTGCATGGTACAAGTCTGGCTCTTCGCTGATTGACATAACTGTCAAACGCAGCACGCACATCTCAAAGCCCAATTCTCCAAACAGTATATAGATTCTTTTGAGAACAAACACCTCCTAATTCAGGGAGGGCTCGATACCTGTTGATGCCCTTGGTCTTGTTGTCTCTGAGACAGCCGATGCCCAGTCTAGCATTGTCGCAGGTCCAGCCATTGTCCCTTGTCGTGCCCAGCGGCACAAGTGGATGTCCATTCAGACATACCTTTGCACCCGTCCGCAGGAGATAGCACTTCTCACAATAATCGAAATCACAACGTTCACATCGGAAGCCTTAGAAGAGGGTGAAGAGCATGGATGAATGCACATTTACCGATCATGTACCAAAAGTCTTGCCAGGCCAAAAGGGCTGAGCCCACGACGGTTCATGCCCTTCGTCTGCCGAAACCCAGTGATTTTGCTAGCACAGCCTCCCTCTTCGCTCCGCCCATCACAACCCCAGCCATTATCTCTACCTCGGCCAAAATCCATGCACTCTCTGGCAAACTTCCACGTTGAGGTTGCAAAGGCGAAAAAGTCTAAAGTAAAGTGGGCTCAGGTGTTCACAGGCACTGGTTCCCAGCGGAGCAAGCTCATGGCCGTTCTTGCAGACTCCCTTGTTGCCACTCTGGCGCAGGGTCTCTATGTGCTGCTTGATGGACTGCTGCTTCTTCATGAACTCCGTCCAGTTCTGCAGGTTTTGAACGCGGAAGGCCCGCACCACCTTGAGCCGATCGGGCACCTGCAGGATTGCGCCAATCTGAAGGTTCATAGACTTCACAGACCCATCCCGCATGGCCTTCGCACCCTTGCGGTCGCGGGTGTAGACCTTGTCATCAAGGCAGAGCCATGTAATGAGGGAACCAGATAAAGGAGTGCTGACTGCAGGGGCCTTCTTGTGGGACGAGTCGAAAATCTGCCTTGTAAGCATGAGATGGCTAAAGCAACGCTGCATACTGAACGGCACATCCGAGATGCTGAATGAAAGCAAGCTCACTGGCAGCCAGCGGGATTTTTGCGAACTTGTTCAAAACATTCCCCTCTTCAGGGGCAAGCCCGTTCAGCATTGGGATGTCTTCCATGACATCCATCTTCCAACTGCCTGGTGAAAAGAGGACTGTCTGCATCTTTCAATTTACCGAAGTGTCTAATGGATTGGCTCCGGCAGCCCACGCCCACACCAAGCCTACACTCTATAATGAGCCAAGCAGTTTACGATGTCAAGACACCCGGCCTGGAATCAGCGATCCGTCCACATTCATCGGCCGAGCTTTCTCCAGGCTACGTTCGATTGACGGCCGGGCCTCGTAGCACCGGTCACAGAGATCGAAGTCACAGGCCTCGTCAGTGCTCTTCTATTGCCAATCACTGCTGCCACAACAAAGCTCATATTCAGCGTCTAGAAGACTTGCTGGGGAAAATGCTCGCAAAGCATGGGCTCAACTTGATTCTTCATGAACTCCTCCGGACGACACACGACATCAAAAGCCCGTGTATCCCGTAAAGGGATCCTTTGGGCCTCGCATCGGTAGCGGGGGACGCCCTTGGTTTGTCGGAAGCCAGTGATGCCACGCTTGCATCCACCCGGATTGCTCCGGCCATCGCAGCCCCAACCATTGTCCCTGGAGGGAGTATAATCGCTTGCAATGTCACGAAGTAGGCTTCAAAGTAAAGGCAAAAGGGAAAACGGAATGTGGCATCATAGTCTGACCAGTAGAACTTGCAGAACTGCAGAAAAAAACAGGTTCGAAGCCTTGCCAAGCCCAAACTTGTCAAAGGATGGCCCCGGTCGCCTTGCACTGACAAGGATATCATCACGTTTCACCATCGTTGCCACCACCGCCATCCCCACCAACACCACCAAATAGAATTCAAATATCCACAATCCATACAGTCAACCTAACCGAATACAATCTGATCAATCGATCACTCTCCAAAGTTCACAACAAGCTTGATCAATCCTTCGTGCACTCACAGTGACAGCAATCCAGTCCTGAGCCAAACACCACTTGGCATCATTCCGTACGCTCACCATGTGGCATACAAGGTCCAGGTCATTGTGCATATTTGTCATCTAACGCAATCCCTTGAATCAGACCCTCCGTCATGGTTCATTCCTAATTAACAACGTCAACATTGTTTTTCATAACATTGCCATCATTTCAAAATCAATTCAATCAAAACTTGAATAACATGATTCAAATCAGTCAAACACTAACAACATATTGAGGCATTCGCTCAAGCCTCCATGTATGCTTCACACTGCATGCACTCACACTCTGCATTCCAGCACTGCACAAAACACAAGGCGAAAGCGGCCATTCTCATTTGCAATGCAATCCAGAGCAGTCCCAGAACCATTCCTGCATTCCAAAGTGAACAACTCATCTGCATTCTGCATTGAACTCCAACCATTCGCACTTGCAGCGGCGGTGGAAACATTGACCAGCGAATCCAAGAAAAGCCATTGCTGACCACTCTACATGTCACGCAGTCTGCACATCACTTCAAATAACATTCCAAATTCAGTAGTGGCATCGCATGGCCACTCCGCCAGTCTGCAGTTCCAGATCAACCAATTGCATTCACAACTTCCTGAACGCAATCTCCGTCTTCTCTGGCATCTTCTGAAGAATTGTCCCAATCATGGTCATGGTGTCTGAGTAGCCACCAGTGGTAGAGGAGGATGCCACAATCACATTCTTCAAGTTCTCAAAGAACTCGGGATCATACAGCTCATCCCACGACGAGCATTCTCCGGCAATCTCACTCTCACGTCACGGCCATTGCTACAGGGAGATGGCCAAGCAATCCCCACTCAATTATGGGGCCACTGCCACTCATCTCATGGGCACCAGTCTGTCATCGGTACCGCTCAGTCACATTGTACAACCAAACATTGAACCCCTTCGCGACAGTGATCTGGCCAACAGTGTTCTGCGCAATCGGATCAGTGAGGTCAATCTCATTCTCGCCAGCGATTGTTTAATTCGCCGCTTCAATCTTTCGACATTGTTGGACTCAAACCAGTTCCTGTGCGACACAGTCCTCAGCGGTCGCCAGACCACGACGACGGCGCAGTAAACGACGCATCGCATTCCATTGCCCTTGGGTGAATCGGCCAGCGGGCAGTCTGCCAGTCTCACACAGCTGATTCGCCAAGGACTCAGGCAGCACGATCAAGGTAAAGAACTGGACGAGAGTGGCATTCTCATCGATGCTCTCAGTCGCAGAACCACAATGCCATTCCACTTTCCACACGCCCTTCTCAATCATCAGGCACTCATTCTTTCCAACTCATGGACCAATGACCTTCGCGAGCGACAGTCTCAATGCCCATGAGCTTGCGGGACCAACTGCATTCTCAGTTGGGTGGACCCATCTGGCAATGTTCATTCGGCCAGATCTTGCGCCACTGAAGTTGATTGACACTAGCGGCGATCCATTAGTCACCATGTATGCAGTCGTCACTGCACTGTTGACGAGCCAATGTCTGCATTGCCACTACCCAACGCAAGCCAAATCTCACGCAACACCTCACTCGGTGTCAGCGCACGCAAGGCCTTAGCCACATCAGGATGCACTGGGCCGCTGGGCAATTCCGCGACAGTTACTCGGCAGCAGCCACTCCCTGAAAAGGCGCGAATTGATGAACTTGATTCTGCGCGCATTCTGCGCATTCAAAGACACGGAGGCAGCACTGTGGAGGAAGCTGCCACAGTGGCATTCTCTGGCACAGGGGCCAGTCCGCACTTGCATTTGCGCCCGGGGCATTCGCATTCCGCGCAGGAGCAGGGATCACTCTGTCAGTTGCTTCATGATCCACTTCCAGTAGAATCCCACTTTTGTGGGCGGGCCTAGTCCGCCCAAGACAGCGGCCACCAGTGAAGTCTGGACTCCAGCAGGAGGAGACCAACCAGTCACACGGGCAATCCGTTGGACAATCTCCTAATTGGAGATCGAGGCTCGGATCTCTCCGTATGACATTCGGTCGGACACCATTCTCACAATCAGGCGAGGGCCGTCTGCACTGAACGCAATCTAGCAGTCTAGGCACTCAGGATTGACCAGTCAAAATAGCAGAAACCATTGGAAACTCATTGACTGATTACTCAAAACAGTTCTAAACATGAACATGCTAATAATTGACAGTCTCACGCTGCTCACTCATTATTTTCCTGCCAGATGCACACAACATCGTGCGCCGATTGGCACAAGGCCACGCACAAGCAGGCATCAGGGCCTTGGCCAAGCCCTCCTTCAGAATCCAAGAATCAGCGTCTTCGAGCATAAAGTCCTCAAAGCGGAGCACCATGTTCTTCACAGGCCCCTCAAGATGATCAGCAAGCGGAACCCCAGCCACACCCCCGCTAGGCAGGGAAAGCTTTTGAAGATCCATGTTGACCACATTGCCCACGCCAGGCTCCGGTTCAGTGTATGACAAGCTGGCGACGCGGAGCGCACTCAAGGACTCGAGGCTCCCGCGTAGCATGCATCCGCCGGTGGAGGGCCCAGTAGCTGCACGCAACCGGTGATATGAGCCAGTGCATCCTGCTGTACCAAAGGAAGTGCTGACCTGTCGTCCCTGCGAACCTTCCTCCCACCAAACCAAAGTGAATTCAAAGATCTCACGGCCAAGTTGACTCGCTGGTTTTCAGCGGCATGAACCTGGATACGTCGACGCACGGCCCTGGACATGTCCCTCTTTACAACGCTGTCCACAGGAAGGCAAAGCAATGGAAACACACCACGGCGCCGGCTACCACTAACATCAGCAGGTTCGTGAAAGATTCTAGTTGACTTGCTTCCCAAGCCGCACGCAGCCATAACCAGGATAAGACAGAGCAGGGGTGGCAGAGCCCCAAGAGCGCAGCCGTTGAAAATCCACGAACCCTTAATTTGACTCCGCCGCCTCCGACCCCTTGGGTCCTCTAGGCGGCTTACCCTTTGCTTTCCCTTTGGCCTCCTCGAGCTTGCGTCTTTGCTTCGTGGTCTGCGACTCAGCCTGCATTCTCTTGGCCACCTGCTCGGTCAAGGCAGGCACGACAATGGCCCCTCCGGGCTTGAATTGGTTTCCCAACCAGTGATCGGCTATGAATGAGCCTCGGCAATAAGTTGCTTACACCGAACCACCAGTTCGAAGCATGCCAAGTTAGGGACAGACAGGCAGTCATAGGTTACGGCAGTGTCCAAGATGTGGGACAAGGGCTCGTCCTCGTAAACTGCACGTGAACCCTCAGGGATACGACTCTGTTGCCTCCATGCCAAGTGCTGTCCATACGTCGATTCGGCAACCGATTTAATTGCCTGAAGATATGGCAGACATGTCCTTGGCTCGTACGGGAAGCCCTCCATCTCCGTAACAGTGAATTCATCAACCGTGTCCCTAAAACCTCTTCTCCGCTCACCGTTGGCAGTGAACTTCACCGACATGGTACGTATGTCATCCGGCACGAGACGATCATCACCGTCTGCAGCCTCCCCTGCTCGATAGATCTGGACACGCTCTTTGCAGAAGGCGGCGACTTCGTCTGCACCGATTTGCTTCATAAGGCACACCCGGCCTGCTCCACCTTCAACCACGTATGGGGCAGGAGGGAGCGCCCTGCTCCTGGGTGAGAAAACTTGGATGGCACAGGCGCGGCTCACTCTGTCGGCTACTTTGGGGCATTGTTGAGGGTAACTGTCGAAACAAGGCGTAACTGTAAGTGTGAAACTCCAATCGTAAGTAGTTTCCATTTGTAAGTGGGTTCCAATGGTAAGTGTGTCGACCTGGAGTCGAGGAGATTCCAATGATTGTTGGAGGTCACCGACACAGTCCATGCGATCTTGGCCGTCGGCCAAGAGATTCAGCTGCGATAGGAACTTCCACCCTTGCTGGAGGTGCCTCTTCCTGTTCCAATAGGGACTGAATGTTGCTGTCATTCACTGCGCAGGTGGGATAGCAGTTTCCGCCGCAGCCGCTGGCGCATCCGGCGCCTTTCCATCCGAGGCCATTGCCGCCGCGGAGGACAGTGCTTAAGAGCTTTTCTGGCAAGACTTTAAAGCCATGTGCCTAAGCCATATGCTGCACCGACTGGTTAGGTGGTGT